CTAGATACTTTGTTTTGTCTTTTTGTGGTCATCCTCTTGTACCAACCACTCTTCCTCTCATTATGTAGTCTGTGATATATTTCATCATCAATTATCATCAACTTTCAACTTTCATTTTTTTGTAAACTATGCTTCAATTGTCCATCTTTTGTTTTCCTCAATCAGTATTAAATGTAGGCCTGTTTGGGATCTGATAACTTGGAAATCAATCGCCTCTGTCAAAAAAGTGAATTGAAGCCCAAGCTGAGTATGTTGTTTTCTCATTGCTTGTCAAGGTGGGTTGGCCTGGTTGGCCCAGCGCTCACCCGATGGACACAGTGTGGTAGCTGTGTGAGCTATCCTACATGGTGAGAATGGAACCTAGGTTGAAGTACTGATACATGAGCTGACCTACATGTTGACAGCATGGCCTTGTTCAGACTCATGGTATGTGAGCTTCTTCACAGGATTGGCATGTAAAATGGCATACGTACTGGCTGGGTGAGTTGACTCACATGCTGACCATGTGAGCTCTCTTCACCCTGTGAATATGTGAGCTGCTACCCTACCACTACATGGCAAGAAATGTGAAGACAACATCAGCTGCCACGTTCCAGTATGCAGAGTTATTCTGATGTGGTTGCTACATGCCCTAATAAGGGGGCGGTGAGGATACGTATTGTTCATGTTACAATCGCCCGGCGGTGTAGAAGATAAAAGTAATATTGTAAAGTTCATGCAGGTTCTCATTGACTCAGGCTTGATGGTACATACACAAAAAGGGAACTCAAGTATCAGAAGAAGAATCAGGCTAGGTAAATATAAAATAGAGTGAATTTCGAATCAGAAAGGATCACGACATGGTAAATGAAAACCAAACCCACTCACCACATCAAAATCATACTCATCAAAATACCGGTATATGGTGGTTTTGATATTGACTTGTTCACAATGATTTTCCAATAACTGTATTTGATGCTCAACTTCTGGATTGAAAGGGTCAATATCGGGCCCCAGAAAACCACAAAGACACAGTTTTTTGAGATGAGGCCATGTGCCTTCAAACAGCAGCCTATTTACTGATCTACAATACTCTATTGTCCAGTAGGTCCACTCAAGATAGCATAAAGATTTACACTCTCGGAAGCTGGCCAGTACGTTTGCGTTCCCACTATTAAGTGTCAGGTGAGTCAAAGATGGAAGATACAAAGAAGGAGGAGCACTATGTTCTTCTTCCTCGATGCGATCCAAGCTGAGATCGACCTTTGTCAGGCGAGGTGAGATGTGACAGATTATCTGAAACGCTAAACTTGGCAACAGATCACCACAATTGCATATACTAAGGTCTGTTATTGTTCCTGGCCAATTGTAGAAACAACATTTTTCTAAGTTAATCAGAGAATTGATTCTAGATCAAGAATTGAATTTGAGGAGTCATCATTTAATCAGTTTAATTTGCAGAAAATTAATTGAAATCAATTTGATTGGATTACTCAACTTATTAGTCTTGAGCTCTGGAGAAGTCAGAGAAATAGACAAAGGAAAGTTTTGTAAATTTCACGGACAAAAACAGAGAAAACAAAAAGAAAGAGAAAGGTCCTACCTGGAGCAGTCAGAGAAATAGACAAAGGAAAGGTGAAGAAGGAACACCTTTCCTGGGCTGCTCCAGTAGGACTATATAGTGAAACTTTTACATAACAGTTTTCACATGATGTCACATGTTTGTTGAGCACACATCTAGAAACTATGTATCTCGGGTTAGTCTTTCAGGACTTTTACATACTTGATTTGAAAGTCACACAGGACTATCCCAACAATTAGAATGTGAAATCAAATCTGGATGTAGATTAGTTTTAACCGGTTTATTGATGCACCGCAATCTTTTGGTGTTGGTGTTCGAAAGGATGAATGAGATGAGCTTGAATTGAAGAGGGAAGCCACCTTACAAGCCTGTACCCTTGCCCCTGGGTACAGGGTTTCTGCTCCGCACTAAAGAGCGGGGAGTGCCGGATCAGGGCGGTGAGCGGAGCGATTGCTCCGCTCTAGGAATTCCAGGTATCCTGGAGCGGGGCGGAGGCTCTGCTTCAATGCGCGGTGCGCAGAGCACCAAAAAAAGCGCTCCACACCCGCTCCGCTCCCGCACTTTTGAGTGGAGCTGTTCCAGCATTGATGGAGTCTCTGTGCCAGGTTCTCACAATTAGTCGTAAGCCCCTCTGCAAGAGCGCGGAAGCAGCCATGAAGTGAGGGCTTTGTTAGGCTATGTTTTAGTGAAATCATTCCCGTTGATAAAATCCTGGAACTCTACATACAATTTCAAAGTTCTATCCCCTAATAATTTAGGTTTCAATGCCTTCAACTTTTTATCTTCAATTTTGGAAGCAACAAGCTTCTTAGGAACACCTGTACATATATGAAATGGGATCGTTAAAACTTACTACTAGCTTGGTATTAAAATACCAAAGGAAAGTATTTGGTGCAAAGCCCAAGGCCTAAGCCCAGGGTATAAAATTGCTGACATAAACTGAACACGTCCTACGGGGTGGCTAGCGGCTTTCTTAAATGAAAAATAACCGTCCACGATAATAAAGACATAAACAAACAAAGAAACATAACCAAATACTAACATAACCACAAACACCACAACGTAAACCACAAAAGAAACCACTACCAAAATAACAAATAAAGAAATACAATAACTGGGTTTTTTTAAACACAACAAACTTTTTAAATGTAAAGGAACAAAACATAACTCTAACACATCTTGCTTAAAGGGTGGGAAGGAGGGATCAAAAATTTGATTTGAACTAATATACGATGAGTTTTAAACAAGCTAGATAATGATTCTTGAGTTCGAAGACAATCTTTGACAAAAGTAAACACGATGGGAGTTGGTAAAGAGAGAATAAATTGAATGATGTCATATCTGTAATTTGAGAGAAGATACACCAGGGGGTAAACTTCCTTGGCCTCGGATGGTTCTGGACACATGTCCAGGGATCTTGTTGCGAGAACCAAGACCAAGCGGTTCCGGTAACAAAATGAGGAGAACCGTGTGACAATCAGTCATTTTCACCGGTTTTTGTGGGTTCAAAATGACCAAAAATTGTAGTCAAAGATGGCATGAAGGTTGGTCAAGACTTGGATGAGACAATACCTTGACCCAAGTGCAACCATCTGGTTGTGATGCAATGTGTTTGACCTTGTCAGTCTTTGCTCGGCTGAGCTGTCCATCAATGGGTCCAGCACTCTTGAATACAGCCTGCTTTTTGGTGACTGCTACATGATGGCAGCGTTTTTGTTCCGTAAAACCTGGACACCTCCTGGACACGTTCCAAAACAATTGAAATGTTGTAACGTGTCCGTAACGCTATTAATCCTAGTTTTGGAATATGTCACTTACCCCCTGGTGTATAAGAACCGACCCGTCAGTTCCCAGAACCACATGTAATGTAATGTTACCAACTTTCCCATTCCACTAGGTTAATAACAAGTTACCAACAGCGAGTAAAAATCAAGGAATAGGTGTGGCTCTGTTGGCATTGGATGGTGTGAGGGAGTTACTCGGAAAGGCTGGCCCTGGGGCCTGGATTGCAGCAAGCGGATGGACGGATCAGGGAAGCACTGAGGGTGGCCATGCTAGGCGCTGAGCCGCTCCACCGGAGGGCTCCCCACTTCTGATAGAAGAAAGAGAAATTGATAGCAGCGGCCTGAAACTTAACCCCTGTCTGACAGAGGGTGGTGGGCGGTAAAACGAAAAAACAACAAAGATTGAGCAGAAGATAGGAGATTTCTTGAATTAGACTGAAACAATATAGAGGTTGGACTAATAGGCTTGCTTGAGATGGATACGAAGAAAATAATAACAATATTTTTTGTAAGTATAGTGAAACAACTTTTTGGGATTTTTGGTTTGGGACAACAAAAGAATTACAATAGATCAGAAAAGAAAACTCGGTCTGAGCTCGTGATAGAGCTGTCGCAGCACTTGGCACGAATCCCTCCGTTGGGGGGGATGTCGTCTGCCATTTCTGTTGCACCTCTTCCGAGATGAGGCTCACGCCTTCTCCTTGCCTAGGTGTCACTCGCCTTACACCAATTCCATTATGTTAATACTCCGTGCCAACTACAAGGATTCAAGGCCATTTGTTGTCAACCTCATGTCTCTTCAAGCTGGGCTAGGGCTGTGACCCGACCCTGTGAGTTCAGGGCCGGCCCCGGGGCCAAATGAAGCCCTGAGCGAGCCCGATGGCGTCTGAGAACTGCTCAGGGCCAACCAGGGCCGCTCGGAGAGTAGCGTGAAGGCATTTTTTGGGCGAAAAAAGGGTTGGCAACCCGGCCCCGTCGGTGCCCGAGCTGCCCGAGGCGCCCACGGGGCCGCAATTAACCGTTATTGAGCTGCATGTGAATGCCCCGGGGCGCGTACCGTCAGCTTTGTGAAAGTCGTCGAGCAGAGTCGGCCGGGCGGGACCGGGGCCGGGTCACAGCCCCCAGCTGGGCTGCCGGACTGGGTCGACCCGGCTTTTAACTATGCTGGCCCCGGGCATGGTCTCAGCCTCCGGACCACGGCCGGATGAGTGCATACTCGAGACCCGCGCCTTGCCACCGACCCCCGGGTGCTACTGGTCGATATCTTTGGAAACACCCGCGCGTACCCCGTTTCACGCTCAGCAATTTTGAAGGTGCACCGTGCTTCTTTCTACAAGACAGACTGACAGGTAAGTTTCTTCACCACTATTCTTCATCAGTAGTCTTGATAAACGGCAAAAGAAAGCTGATGATGCATCATTTATCTGATCCAGAGGAACTCGCTGTGAAAGCTATTGTGACCTTTATAGCGCGTCAAGAGACCAATTCTCAGACATCAAAAACACCAAGTCGACCATACATCATATCATCAATAACTCGAAAACTTGTAGAAACTTGGATCTAGCTTGCTTCCTAGAGCTAAGTTTCGTTCTTCAACAGTATTACGAAACTAAGTCAACGATCATCAAACCTCAAATTAGAAGATCCTACAAAAAATGAATAATTCTCAGTCGAACCTATCACCTCAACGGAAAGCTCAAACTTCTCACTTTTTAACTACACCTGGTGATCATCTTACTCGTTCTGAACAAAACCTTGAATCTGAAACACCATTCTGTCGAACCTGCACTGCAAACCAAGCTCTACAAATGAATTTGTTAGCCAATTATCTTCCAAATGAAACTGAAGATGATCATCTAAGTGGGAGTAGTAAAGCAGGAACCAGTTCCGTACGTTGATAATATTTTTTACATGCGTTGTAACGAATCTGAATTTTAATACCAAACTTTCTTTTCGATTTAGGAGATGCGACGACTTTTAGATGCGCTTCCACAATACAAAGAGTCATTAGAAGCTCGTTATCCAGTTCTATGCTCCGAATGTTCACCAAAAGTTTCAGCTATCATTCAAAAAAGGAACTATAAATCCAAGGCATACGTACTACACAGCTCAGCCCGTCGTCTTTCACAACTACCCTCTACTCATCATCTGAACACCGATACTCGACCAGAAATTATCTCTCCCTTTAATCGTGTTACATTTCAGAGACCTCTCATTAAGGGTATGGGAAGTAGACTTTGGATTCTTCAGGAATGGGTTTGGCGGTTACGTGGGGTTTTGTGGATGTTTAGTCATTTATCTGGAGTGTTGGTAAATTTATTTTGTTGGTGATTTTTATCGATGTTCGTTCAATCTATTTGATCTCTGCTAATATATCATGATCATTGTTGATTTGACAGATGCATCGCCACTCACGCTGGGATTGACTTCCCTCTGTAGTCATGAACACCAAGCAAGTCACTCAACATCAGGTCCTACTCATACCATATGCTATCCTTCACTTCTTGAGAAATATCGCTTTCAAGTCCTCGTCTTTCATATATTGGAATTCTTTTGGGCTTTTTTCGATTTCACTTGGTCACAAGTTCGTAAAAACAAGGCACAAGGCATTCATACGAAAATTATTGGACGTTTATCATATCTTGTATGATAAAAGTTTTTTGCATATCCAATTGTCTAATCAATGAACTCATCATTCTCGATTTGGTTCTTCTATTTTCAGTGCTTCAATGCAGTTGCCTACATACTTCGACTATTTTCTCTCCTTTTGACTCAAGAGCCCTTTTTATCATACCTTCGAAGATCGAGGTTGTGGGTTCCGGATCTTGTTTCTTTAAGGAATCCTCGAACTTTTGGAATCATTAGCATCACTTTGGCCATGGTGAGTGTTGATATCTATCGTTCCATTTGGGATCATCTCGTATCTGATTCGTCTCATAGCTTTTTGTTAGCTGTTTATATTCACTTAGAATCGATTCTCCTATCAGGTTGACATCTACCAAGAAATCCAACGTTCAATCTACTCTGAGACCAAAACTACCTATACCTAAACCAGTCTCAGACGAAGATCTGTTCTCTACCCTTTCACTAAGCGCTTCCCAAAATATATCGGCAAATCATAAACCTAAACTTGATATAAACCAGAACAACTCTAATCACGAAACACCAATCTTTGGTAAATCTACTGCATTATCCAATCCGTTAATTGGAACATCTCATCAAATTGAAGAAACATCAGAAAATGAATTTGGAAATATGGATTGGGAACCTATCAACACACCTAAACCTTTTAATGAATCAGTTTTACTTCATCCTCAAACCTTTTTACCACCTGTTAATCATAGGGATGAAATTGGAATTGAAGATATGTTCAAAGAAAGTTTTAATGTTAGTTGTAATGAAAACAACGAAAAGGATAAGAAAAGGAACAAAAGTTTAAGTTGGACTGATTGGATTCCTGGGGGATTTTTGAGGAGAGGTGCGCATGGAAGTAAAGCAAAGGATAGGTAATATCAAAATATAGTTTGGATTTCATTTTTCATTTTCGGGCTATCATGGCTCAAGCCAACATTTTAGTCTGTTTCATCTTTATTTGCAAGTTAATTGGATTTCTCAAGATCATAAATTTGACTGTTTCATGAACATCATATCAAACCCATCAAATTCAAACTCATTCAAACGAGTCTCTTTGGTCTCTATCACAGTCGTATTTTTATAGACGTAGAATCATATCAGTCATCAACAAAATTCTTTGAGTCAAGGCCAAACAACTTGATATTTCTGTGGGAAAAATCAGGTCATGAAGACTAACAGATCAATCAATAATTCATAAAAGCTACCATGATGTTGATTTGATTTTGATCATATACATAGTGCATCACAGCAAGACTCAACAAGCACCGGGTATTTGTTCCAAAGCCATGGTCGTGGCCAGTTCTTGAGTTCTTCAGGATCTGATCTCACTTTTGAAATGGGCTTGTTGTCAGCTATCCAAAACTGTTTGGGTATTTCTCATAGTATCAAATCTCAAAAGTGTTCAGATATTGCCAATGACCAACTTTTTGGTCTCTGTCAAGTTTGTATTCAACAATATATGCACAGGTTGGTTGGGTGGCACGCAGTTGTGAGAGAAAAAAATATGTATTTGTGGTTACAAAGAACCTACTAGGAAGGTAACTCCTTCTTTGGTACATCACATCAAGTTGTAATCCATGTTACACTTGAGAGATAGAAATCTAGAAAACTCAAACTCACTCACGCATTACACCTCGTCTCGCTTGAAAGATTTGAGTTCTCGCGCATGATATTCACAATGACATCACACCTATCGGTATGTATTGTGTGTAATTAAGCAGAATTAAGCTCACGCTCAACCATCCAGGTCAGAAGAGTTTGTCGTGATTTTCATTGGTTTCGACCTTGATTTCTAATCAGAGATTAAAAAATGCCTTCCACCAAGCCTTGTAAGCGTATTCAGGCTATCCTCTCAAATGAACTAGCACATGGGCTGATTTATTGAAAGCTGACTCTACTCCCTGTCAACACACAGCATCTCACGTTTTAGTAACTGGCGCGTATGTCTTTTTTGATTAGGAAAATTGAACTTTTCAAGAATCTCACCATTTCGATTCTTTCCCCCCTTTCGAATCTATAGGAGTGGATATATCGCTAGTTGGACATGTCAATTCTTACTTGAAGGTGGTTTCAAAGTGCGTGGAACGGTGAGATCAAAAGAGAAAGGAGATCATCTCTCGCAAATTTTTGAAAGATTCGGAAATAAATGGTCATATGTGGTGATCGAGGATATCGAAAAGGTTTGATCACAATTCTGATTAATAGATGATATTTAAAGATTCTGATCTAATGCTACATCACTTCACATCTCATCTAAATTCTTGATCTCCGTTACCAAAAGCCAAATGGTTTTGATGAAGCTGTCAAAGACATTGATTCAGTGGCCCACATCGCTTCGCCCTGCCACATGAATGTAAGCACTTTCCACCAAGTTCAAAGGGATTTAATGTATGGGAAGCTATGGGATGATATCATTTACCTTGAACGTCTACAAAACACAGGTGACTGACGACCCTTACAAATATGTGATCAATCCTGCCGTCATTGGAACCTTATCGATATTGAATTCAGCTAATGGACCTAATGGAAAATCTGTCAAGCGTATCGTCATCACCTCATCATTGGCGGCAGTTTTGAATCCAACAAATGATTTGAATCATGTCTTCAATGAAAGTGAATGGAATGAATACTCCTCAGAAGTCGTAAAAGCCAAAGGAAAAGATTCTCCGCCTGTAGAGATTTACCGGTGCTCCAAAGTAGTTGAGTCGTCTGGTTTGAATTTAATAACTAAGTCGTCCACTCTCTTGACTCCTGAATCATATCCCTCAAATTTATTCGTTGTATTCAGACGGCCGAAAAGGCGGCCTGGAGCTTTATGAAGGAAAACCAACCAGCCTTTGACCTAGTCACTCTTTGTCCGTCTTACGTGTATGTAGAACATTCCTCTAACGGCTATATAAGAATTTCTTCATGAATTGACTGATTTTTTCTTTTGAAAATCAAAAGCTTGGGTCCAGTTATTCATCAGGTCAAGGATTCGAAGTCGATAAATGGAAGCGTGAAATTATTTTACAATTACCTCGTCGGAATTAGTGACGCCGAATCAGCAAAAGTTTGTTCGTTTTTACTTCTGATGAGATAGGCAGGTGAACAAGAAGATGTAACATCTAATGTTTGATGACCGGACTATTGTAGAAACCCTTCTCGTCCGAGGTAGACGTGCGTGATCTTGCAGTCGCCCACATCCAGGCACTTGTAATCGAGAAAGCCGGAGGAAATAGATACGCTATTTCTAAACGTTGGTTAGATCCTGATCATGTACTCTGTTTGACATGTGGAGGATCAAAAAATTTCAACGCTTTGGTTTATTATCTAACTCAACACCCCATCCTATGTCTTTTTTGTAGAGGCGTTTACTTGGCAAGACGCACTGGATATCCTTCACGAAAAAGGCCAAGGGAAAGATTGGCCGAATTCTACGAAAGGAGAACCAGGTGAGAGATACTTTTAGATTCAACGGGAGAGAGTTGGTATGTGAGACTTGATACTGAAAATATTGTCAAACTAGGTAGCGGAAAGTCTGCAAAACAAAATCTATATGATGCTTCTAAATCAATCAATGATTTGGATATGAAGTATCGACCATTTGAAGAGACTATAATAGATATGAGTAACTCATTGAAGGCTCTTTCCAAGACATGGCGATATGTATTGTAAGGCTTGGTTTGTGAATTCTTCATTTGAAGCATTTTTACCACATCTCATGGACTCCTGTTGTGTGGTGATGAGACGTATTTGTTTATGCCGTGGTAATATTTCTAGCTTCAAACCTACAAGAGCACGAATAAGAAAATCACTTGTCAAAGAACAACACCAGTTTGAACATAAAACAGTCCATATAAATGAGATTGTTCAGGATGGCTTCCAAGGAAATGGAATAGATCAAAAGATAGGAAATGAAATAAACAGATAAAGAAAGAGACACTATTAGGAAAAGTGTGATGCTGATTTATCTCATCTTATTGAGCGGCTCGGACTACTTCCCAGGGCCTGACTGGCTATCCAACTGAGAAGATTTGTTGTGCAGTCTTCATTGAAACTAAAGTAAAAAAATTATACCTTGCTGTGTTTTGACCTTGAATTTGGTCAGGATTCTCCCCGATGATGACAGAACCAGCCTGTCAATCATCAGAAATGGGGTCTTTAAGATCTTGAAGCCAAGACTTACCCCTCACTGATTGTTATTAAACCCAGCTAATGTTCAAACCTGTGGATCTGACCTTATCAGATTTCCTTAAGAAGGGCTGGAATGTCAAATACCCCATCCACCATCTAAATTATTGCATATAAGAAATTGTTGAGATAGTTTTAAAAGCAACACCAAGACAGCAGCACAGCATAGTGTTACAAGGCAGGTTGGCATTGAGTAACTCTATGGGTTATAAGGGAATTTCCTGAGGTTCTAATGCTGCTCCCTTAGTTACGCTACAACTTAACTAAGTCCCACAGTCACACACTTCGTCCTTGCAAGCTTGGGTATCTGGTGAGGGACTTGGGACTAATTGGCCGTGCTTGGTAGTTGCGCAGGACCCTTTAAGTTTGAGTTTGATGTGGAGACTTTTTCACCATGCCAAATACTATCACTTTCACTCAATCAACCCATGTGACCATTTTAACTGGAGATACTTGAAGCAATTCCTATCACATCTGTTTATTCAGAATTCTTCTAACATTCTCTCAGCATCCACAAAGAAGAGAAGAGGTGTCTCGAATATGAAATTTGGTTGCTGGCAGTGACTGTATCTTCAAAACAAAATTTACAAACAACCTCCTAGAGCACAATCCTCTTGTATGGTGAGAGGACTGCTATCTGATCCAACGCATTTGGTCAAAGACCAAAGTTGTGCATTTGATTGTTCAGAAGATTTTAGTCTCCTCAGAAAATATGTAGCATCCAAACTGCAAAAGTTAGGCAACTGTATGCCTCAACGGACCTTTTGAATTCCTGCTCAATCACCAAAATTATGTGATTAGTCAGAAGTCCCTATCCCGGGCACCAAGAGTGCAAGGTTAATAGAGCCCTGGAATGAATTTGGACTTGTGTTAAGTTGAGGTTATTCTATCCAAATTAGAGTAACTTTTATGACATTCATGAGCTATCTCAATGCTGTTGCATAGAGGATGCACTATATTACCTACAGTCAAACCCGCGCAATTGCATACCCGCGCAACTGCATACCCGCGCAACTGCATACCCGCGCAACTGCATAATCAGCCTTTTTGCACAGGCCAGGACTTCCCCCGACTGGGTGCGGGCTAAAAGTTGGATTTATTGCATAATTTTGTCAAAAATGATAATGCATAAGTCAAAACCCAAAAAACCGGGTCTTGCAAGCCCAATTGCATAGCTTTTACTCAAAATACAGGATAAAAAGTACACAATTAGGCATAAACCTTGAGCCCTAAGTCTCATAGCCTAGCTCATAACCTGCAAAAATGCATAATGTTATGTAATTTGGCCTATTTCCGCATATATGCATAACTTTATGCATTTTAACCTATCCTGTATTTTACCTCACTTTGCATAACCCGTGAAATTGCATAGGCCGGATGTTCCCCCCTGATTATGCAACTGCGCGGGTTTGACTGTATATGGTAGCTAGTTACCAGGCTAAACAATTTTAACAGAATCCAAATGTGATTCACTGAAACTTGATCATATAATTATAGTTGTAGGTAATTTTTTTTCCTCTGCTGTACCAGGCATTTTATATAGCAAAATGACAAGTTTAGCTATCACACAATTGACAGGTTGCTAAGCACACATTGACATTTACAAACACCTCCCTACTATTGTTGAGTGGAGTGAACCTGACCAAAAGGTATAGTTGGTCATACCTTTTTTTATCAAAGCTTCCAGCTTAACAATTTGCTTTTGTTTCTTTGAGATCATACTTGAACCCTACACGTACCTTAGGATCAACACTGATAAGGAGCTTCCAGCAATGGTCACCAAGGCTTTCAATCATTGGTATCAAGTTCCACAGCCTGAAAATGTCATCATAGATACCAACGTTGGGCCGTTGCGCTGCACTGCGCGCAACGGGTCGTTGCTGAGCAGCGCAACGGTCAAAATTTGGCCCCATATAGGACAACGCAATGGGCAACTATGGAACGCGTTGCGTTGCGTTGCTAACAACGGACGTTGCTCGCGTTGCAACTAGTCGCAACGGGCAACGAGCAGTCAAGATATGATATGACGAGTGGGGATTATTTATTCATTACACAGTTGTAAATAGAGCCACTTTACTGTATTCAATTATTTGTATCTTTTTGCCTACCCCCAAATGCATCAATTGCCTCGTTTACCTCCTTGTATTTGTGACCTAGGCGTACCCCTTGACGTGCCCAAAGACAAGAACCAACGTTTTGCTCAATCGTACGTGGGACCAAACGAACTCGATCTGATGAACAAATGTCTGCTGCGGCAGAGAATGTCTGCTCGACTATGGCCGAACTGGCAGAGAGGCTTAGATAGTCTTTTGCCAGAGATGCCAGCACTGGAAAAACAACACAATTGACCTACCAAGATTTTCACAAAAGATTAACGATGATAATGCAAAAGCGATTCATGATTCAAGCCAGAAAGTAATACGCACACTCCACCATGGTAATATGGCGTTGCATTCCCTAGCATCATCCTTAGCCGACATCGGATGTGTTCCCTTTAGGTAAGCAGCCATTTCATCTACCTGTGCCTGAGGCTCTTGAGCTTTGAAAAGCTGAAACACATTGACGTCAGAGCTCGTCTTCGCTGAGGTAGTTGAATTCGAGTCAGAGGTTGATGCTGGTACGTCAGTCTGTGGTGAGCCAATCGTTTTCTGACGCTGTGCAAACTTCTCCTGCAAGAGTGTACCAGCGCGGATCGTATGGGGGTGCTGAGGTCCAAATGCCTGCTCGTAGAACTGAAGGCGAAAGAAAGGGTTTAAAAGACTTGCCATGACCGTTGTGTCGCAAGCCAAAGCTTCTTGAAGATATCGTTCCACTCGCTCTTGCATTGACATGATCATGGGTAGCAGTGCATCGCCAACTTGAAGATCTTTTACCCGATTCGCAAGATGCAGCTTGAGTGCATAGAATTCGGGAATCACCATTGAGCCTGTAGGTCCATTTCCTTCCATTCTTTTAGTCAACAGTAGAAAAGGCTATTCAAAATTGAGTTAGCAAATCACTCCAGGAGGTGCACATCACGTATCACATGAGCAGGACTTACAGACAGCTTGTTTGTTAATTCCTCGAGTGAATCCCAGTCGTCGGGAGTGAAGAAGATTTCATGGAAGTATCCGCGCGGCTTTTGAGACAACCTGATACGACGTGACTTTGCTCTGACACGCTCAAGGTCGTCCGCAAGCAACTTGCTAACAACCTAATAAATGGGACATTACAAATTGGTCTAATTAGATGTATCAGTAAGGATAAAGTCAAAATCGCTACCCACCTTACGTGCCTGTACCAATCGGTTAAGAGAATCGAATTCCGCTTTCCAACGGGTCGCATTGTAACCTGGTGTCAAGGGTAAAAGTTTGAGATTCATGCTTTTTGCAACACGTGTGAAATATCTGCGCCAAGGAGCTGATCTAGCAACCCGGCGCGAGATAAAGTTAGCCTGATAAACCCAATATAAAACGCAGTTAGCATTTATTGATCATCCGGACATGATACAGCAGTGATTACCTGGGCCATTAACGCATTGAGACGGAGAGCATGTTTCCTTGATGTGTTGTTTTTGAAATCGTTTGTGGTTGAGGTTTCAGGTGCGATGTCATTCACATCTTCCCGATCGCACCGGTCCTCTTCAGCTTCGTCATAGTCCGGAGGAGCACAGGCGGTCTCTTCGCATTCGGAATCGTGATCAGTGTCTTCTTCATCAGGTAAAGGCATTTCTTCAGCTTCAGTTTGATCTTCGTCGTCTTCAATAACAATCGCACTTGGGTGTGATTCTTCTTCGTCTTCCTCTGCAATGACCGGCAGTCGCTCAGGGATGGGGAAAACTCCCAAGATCGATTTGCGCTGTTGATGTCGAGAAAGTACAGTTCGGCCAAGTTCCACCAAGCCACCCTTGACTGT